AGTGTCTTCCAGACACAGCATGACTATTGCACATATAAACTCAAAGACTTACAGAACACACAAGTTCAAGCCATATGAGGTCCCAGCACTGAGGGAGGTGAGTGAGTGAATGTGGAGTCCAATCCCAAACCATCTTCAATTGATATTCACTGGCCACAGGAAAAGTCAGTTTTCTTCAAAGGAGTCTAATATTTTGAACTTTTTATTTCGTTTTGCTTTGTTTGTTTTTTTTTTAATTTTTGTTTCTTGAGAGTATTTTCCTTTTTTTTAAAGAGAGGAGAAAAAAACAAAGTGGAAGTAAGGAAGTGGGGAACATTTGAGAGGAATTGAGAGGGGATTTGTTGTTTTGTTTAGTTTTGTTTTTCAAAATAGTGTTTCTCTGTATAGCCCTGGCTGTCCTGGAACTCTCTCTGTAGACCAGTCTGTCCTTGAACTCACATAGATACACCTGCCTCTGCCTCCTGAGTACTAGGAAAAAAGGCAAAAGACAGAACATCTGGCTGGGAAATTTTTTCAATAAAAAAAAAGAGCCACATGGCAAAACAAAACAAAACAAAGACAAAAAAACCACCCAGGGAACAAAACAAATGATCCCCTTCATCATTTAGCTTGTAGTGCCTTTTTGTTTAATTACTCTTATCAACAATTTCTTTATAACCCATAACATTGTAGTCGAGAGCTTGGGCTGTGGTGCATATTTATTTGATGTTCTTACAAATGTTAATGTTTCTGATATGTATTTGAGCAACATAATCAAGACCTTTTAGCAATTAACCAGTTCTTGAGGCAACTCGTATAAGTGAATATATTGTTTCCCTTTCACTGCAAATCTGAAGGCAACAGCAACAACAAAATCAATAGATCACTAACATATCAGACATATTGTCAATACTTTCCCACTCACATATCCCTGGGTATTGCTTTTCTTGTCAGTCCACTAAAGCTATAATGCCATCTTTCTTTTAAAATTATTTCTCTATATTTTTTTGAGATTATAATATAGTTATATCATTTACCCCTTCCCTTTATTCCCTCCCAGACCTTACATATGCCCCTCCTAGATCTCTTTAAAATTAATGGCCTGTTTTTCTTTAATTGTTTGTATATATTTACCTACAGAAGTTCTCTGTTTTATAAAAAAGTACCATTATACTATCTCTATACATAAATACATAACACAACAATAACCTGCTTGGTTTGTATAATGGTTCTAGAACGTATGTTTTCAGGAACAACCCTTTGGTATTGGATAACCAATTGGTGTGCTCTTCCTGGGGAAGACTCTCCCCCCTCTAGAATTCCTTAGTTGCCTGTCATTCTTTGTGTTGTACTGAGGCCCCAAGAGACTACCACCTTTCATGTTAGCATGTTTGTGTCATTTTGTTCAGATCTTATGCAACCATATTGGTGAAACTTTATGGGTACAGCTTCTGACATTCCCAGGGGCCAACTCCCTGATCCTCTGGCTCTAACTATCTTTCTCCTTCTCTTCCACAATGATCCCTTGAGCTCTAGATATAGGAGATGTGTTAGAGATGTATCCATTGGGACTGAGCTACACAACTCTGCTCATTTCCATAGGAGAAAAATCAACCAAGAATTTTATCCAGCTATAATGCCTATGAACTACAGCAATGACCAGCCTGGCATGAAAACCTTAAGGGTGCAATAGTGGTCCACATTCCTTGGCAGAAACCTACAGCCCTCTAATTGGACTTAAGACCTGTTCACCAATAGGGAAATCATGCCTGGTACCAGAAACTTAGCCAACTATGCAGGGTTGTTAAAGCCATAGAGCTTGGAGGAGAACTTACAACTGCCATTTTACTAAGTCAGCATAATCTCTGACTACATTCTAAATATATATCCTTATGTTTACAGGTAAGCGTGGCTCTCTCCCTTGATCAAGAAAACTTCTCTTTGCAACAGAAGGAAACAATTACAGAAAACCATAATTAATCAAAATGTTAACTTTTTTTTAAAAAAAATAACCTATCCAACGGTAGAAACTTACCCACCAGGTGTATCTTCTTTGATACCAACTTAAGAAATTAGACTACCTCAAAATAGAGAAAAAAAAAAAAACAGGGACATGAGGTACATTATTTGTTGCACAGCAGGTCAATTTTGTTTGTCTGTTATACAGTTTCAATAAGAGAGATACACATGAAATCTACATTAGACTGCACTTCTTAAGCTGATAACTTTTGGTATTATAACAGTCAACATATTACAAACAAACTAAAATGAGAAAGCAACTTAGAACTCAGCAAAATATCAACAGGTGACTCCAGATATCCCTGCCACTTTATCTTTCACATAAGATCAAACTGTGAATGAGGGGCATTTTTTCTTCTCTGCTACTATTTTTAGGTTTTGTTGTTGTTGTTGTTTTTCGAGACAGGGTTTCTCTGTGTAGTCCTGGCTGTCCTGAAACTCACTCTGTTCCAGGCTGGCCTTGATCTCACAAAGATCTGCCTGCCTCTGCCTTCCGAGTGCTGGGATTAAAGGCGCCATCACCACTTAGCTATCTGGTTTTTTAACTAGTGGGAGGTGATGCATGCATGTGAATCTGCAGGTGTATGCACCCACGCTCCACATGTGAAAGCCAGAGAAGGACCGGGGCGGGGTCTTCTATCGCTCAGCCCTTTACTGAAGGCAGGGCTTTCGCTGAACCAGAGCTCACAGTTGGGCTTGTCTAGTTAGCCCTGCAGTGTCCAGGGTCAGCCTGTCTCTGCCAGCCAACACAGGTACAGTCACACCCAGTTTGCAGGCTTGCCCAGGGTTTTACATGGATAGTGAAGATTCAGACTCAGTTTCTCATGCTTTCACAGCAAGCAATCTTATCCATCGAGACATCTGCTCAGCTTTTTAAAAAATAAAGATCATATTTTCCTTTTTAAATTTCATATCCATTGGGCTTTATGATGACTTATTTTCATTTCTTTTTTCTAGTAACACCCATTTCTCAAACTATCCCTTTTACCAGCCTCTCCCTATCCCCACCTCTCTTTTTAACAGAAGGCAATGATCAGGGAGTGGTGGCATATGCATTTAATTTCAGCACATGGGAGGCAAAGTCAGGCTGATTTCTATGAGTTAGAGGCTAGCCTGGTCTACATGTAAGTTCCAGATCAGGTTTACATGGTGAAACTCACTGTCAAAGCAAAAACCAGAAATAATGAAAGGTAGTTACATATCAATTGTTTTGATGCTTGAATTGCTAACATTGGAACACACCAATCTCCTCCATTAACACTGAGACTGATTTTGTAGGTAGCATTTTAGCAAATTTCACAACGTAGTGATATGTTTTCTATTGATCCCTTTGCCATCTAAAGAACTGGAGTCGGGCTTATCCCAGAATATAGCACTGAAGTGTTTTCATGATAGTTTTAGAACCAGAAAGTTCCTCTGCTAGACTATTTTGTTGTGTATGTCATGAAGAAGTAAATAATCATTGAACCATTATGTCTGGAAATGGAATTTACACTATTAATGACATAGACACATGTGAAGAACATGTTGAAGTATTAACATTCCAATCCATAGTTTGCACATTATTAATTCATTCTGTAGGTATAGTTTACATACTAGGTTTTATCATAGCATATGAAAATAGTAAGTATATAACATTATAGTAAATTTAAATCTCTCATATTTGCAGTCCCATCATTATATGAGGAGAATAATTCATGAATCATTTTCCTCTTATTTTTTAGAAGGGTAAAACAAGGTATGCTTTGTTTTCTTTCTCTGATTTCTACATCCATAATTTCTTGTATCCATGATTACTTGAGAAGTCATAAAGCAATAATGTATAACAGTAGTTGTGTAAAATATACTGTCCTAACTCCAATCAAAAATTTTCAAATTTCCAAAGCCACTGAAGTATTTGAATCACTTAACTTGTATTAGGCACATTACTTTCAAGTAGAGCAGCTTCTAAAATAATAATAAAAACTGAATTCAAGTGGAATGAGTTTTGAAAAATTAGTATAACTCTAATGACATATGAGTCTGGCAAAAGATCACTCATTTTAGTTTTTGGAAAAAATATGCTTAATAAAAACAAAATAAAAGTTGGCAATTCATTAATCCACCAGTGTTATCTTCTTTATAACAATACAAATAGATATTCTGAGATATGCTTGTGATTTTTGTACATTTACAAAGTGTTGTGAAGCTATTAGCTATGTTCAGGCATGTGTTTCTCAAAGAGTACTTGCCACAGAGATATTCAGAAAAAAAGTATAGGATGCAGAATATGCCACATTTAATTAAATGTCTTTCAAGACCAAGCCAAATGTCGTCTCAACTATAAATCTCTTGGATTCCTTCCTTCCATCCAGATACTCACTCATGATTTGTCTCTGTCTTTGATGAGTATCCACTACAATTTATTACATTCCCAGTGATTATCATTTTTTCATCCATTATTGTAGTGACCTGAGTGTCTCTTCTTCCACATTTTGTTCATCTCTGCATTCTCACTTTAGGTATCTGAGCACCTTTCTCATATCCGTTGCCCAAAAAAACCACTCCAACATGACATTATCTTTAATTTTAGACCTCTATTCCATATTACTCTTATGGACTTTAAGGAGTTTTAATGCTTTACTGTTTCTCAGAAATAAACTATAAGAGCTGGTGAAATGGCTCAGCAGATAATGGTGCCTGGCAACTGGAGTTCAGTACCCAGAACCCACCGGATAGAAAGAGAAGGCCGGCTCCTCTGATATCCACAGGCACACCATGTTTCACGCATGTGCATTCACTTGTGCTTGTGCATGTGCACACACAATCAACCTTTAAAAACTAATTTTAAAAAATAACCAAGTTCCTTGAGGTCTAGAACAATATTCTAATGCATACCCCCCAGAATTCTTGACATATTGAGACATATTCAAATGATTTACTATAAATCAAAGAAAAGCTCCTCTAAGAAAGAGTCTAGGACACAGTTAGCAGCTATCTCCTTGTCAGAGGAGTCAAACCCCCTAGAATGTGCTTACCGTGGCACTGACATTTGTATGATCCTCTTTCCTATTCAGAATCTGAGCACAGGATATTGGGAAATTCAGTCCCACACCAGTGGCCAGATTTCTCAGATCATCAGCATTGTATTTCCCATGCAAGAGCAAGCTGTTACTACCAGAGCCAACTCCCAGAGGGATTTGATAGAGATATGTCTGAGAAAGTCTCTCAACTGTAGTGACATCTATCATGGTTGATGTCACCCAAGGACTAGAAGCCATTGTCCTCTCACATCTCGTATTTTCTGGAGAATGACAACTATTCTGAGAGCAACAATCTGGGCTCTGGCACAACTTGATGCACACCAAGAAGAGCAAGCACCCCAGAAATAAAAAGGAAGTGCAGACCAGGGCTATTACCAAATACAAGTTCCGGGCAGAAAGTTGGGCTCTGGGTTCCCAGGTATCTTCAAAGTCTGGAAGGACCTGAGGAGCTGAGTTGCTCAATAGCACACCCAGAGTGACAGAGGAGGAAAGTGGTGGCTCTCCGTGGTCCTGAACCACTACCACTACCCTCTGTTCAACCGCGTCAGTGGGAAAAACTAACCGCGCAGTCCTAAGCTCTCCCATATTGACTGAAATGCTGAAAAGACTAGAGTCAGAAGCCCGAGGGATGTGGTAGGAGAGCCACGCATTGGAACCACTGTCTGCATCCTCTGCTACCACTTTTGTGACCAGGTGTCCAGCTCGAGCAGAGAGGGGCACTCTTTCCACTGGGATAGAGCCATTTCTCGGCAAGGGGAACAAGATGTTTGGCACATTGTCATTCCTGTCCACCACAAACAAGTTCACAGTCACCGTTGAACTTCTGGGAGGACTGCCACCATCTCGGCCTTCCACGTGGAAGCGAAGCCCCCTGAGCTGTTCAAAGTCAAAGGAAATGCTGGCGGTGATAACACCGCTAGTTGGTTCCACTGCCACCAAGCTGGGGGAAACTGGCATCCCTTCAGGAATGACATCCAATAGCTCATAAAAGACAAGGCCATTCTCCCCCAGGTCTGGGTCCTGAGCAAACACACGGCCTAACGAAACTCCAGGGCTATTGTTTTCAGCCACAAAAAGTTCCTGTTGTGGTTGAGGAAATCTTGGTGTGTTGTCGTTCACATCGGCAACCGACACAGTGAGTGTCCTTCGGGTGCTTAGTGGGGGCGAGCCACCATCTGAAGCAGTGATGAGGATCTGGTATTCATTTGCTTGCTCCCGATCCAGGGGCCCATCAGTCAGCAATCTGTAGTAGCTGTCGAAGGAAGCTTTCAACTGAAAGGGTCCTTCGCTGGACACGCTACAGGTGACCTTACCATTGGAACCCAGGTCCTCATCCTTTACACTAAGGAGAGCAATCACTGTGCCAGGAGCTGCGTCCTCGGGTACCGGGCTGGAGAAAGTCATGAAGTCCACCTGGGGGGCATGACCATTCACATCAGTCACCTCTACAAGCAGCTTAGCAGTGCTAGCTAGACTAAAGGCACCTTTGTCTCTTGCTTCAACATATGCTTCCAACAACGTGTCCGGCGGACCTAGCGAAGCAGCTACCTGAACCTCCCCACTTTTAGGATGTATGCGAAAGAGGTGCCTCAGCTCTGCTGGTGTGCTATTGCTTAAGGAGTACCATACATCCCCATTGGATCCTTCATCCTGATCCGAGGCTTGAACGTGGAATAACACAGTCCCATTGGGGACAGTCTCTGGAACCTTGGTACTGTACACAGAATACTCAAATACAGGCACATTGTCGTTTGTATCCACCACAGTGATGGTGACTTGAGCATCTCCAGAGCGTGCAGGCAGACCACCATCCTGAGCAGTGAGCACTAGTATGTGGGTGTCCCGCTGCTCTCGATCCAGGACTTTCTCCAGCACCAACTCCGGATATTTGCTGCCATCGACCCGCGATCCCATATCCAGGCGAAAGTGCTGACTAGAGCTTAGGCTGTAACTTAGCGCCCCGTTGCTTCCCTCATCAGCATCTTGGGCAGTGGGGAGAGTGAACCGGGCTCCTGCTGTCAAAAACTCCGGGATGTGCAGGTGCACGTCTCCAGCAGGAAAGAGGGGTGAGTTGTCATTGGTGTCCAGGAGGTGAACACGTATCTTATGTAGCTCCAGCGGGTCATTGAACATTAGCTCGTATGTCAACATGCAAGCAGCTTTGGCCCCGCACAGCCGCTCACGGTCCGCTGGCTCTCTAACCACCAAGCTACCACTGACTAAATCCACCCCAAAGTAGGGCTCGCTGTAGCTGGAAAGGAAGCGAAAGTTCCGCAAGGACAGAACAGTTGCTGACAGCTTCAAGTCCGAGGCGATATTGCCTACAGCGACTCCGGATTCTGTCTCTTCCAACACCGAGCACACCAGCTGTCCCGCTGTAGCCCCACAAGAGACCCACCAACACAGAACTGCCATCCCCCAGCACACCATCCTCCCTTTCGGCGTCCACGTTCCAGCTGCGGCGACCTGGGACCATGCTCCGAACTCCCGAGGAGAAGGAGCCTCGAAAAGTTGGAACTGCTCCGCCCGCTAGCACTGCAAGCTTGAAGTGCCCTGCCACCGGCATTCCGCCCGGGTTGGACTGCAGGGTGTGCCGGGTGAGGAGGAGCGCAGCGCCGCCTAGGGGTGCAGAGGTAAACTGCCCGGGTGGGTACGCTCCATCTGCACTCTCCTGGGGCTAAGGTCCAGCGCCTGACTCAGGCTGCTTGCTTAAACCAGTAAGATGTTGAACTGACACGCCTCCTGCCAGTGACGTTTTCTAGGTCAACTCCCTATGGTTTTGAGCTCTCGGACAACCACAGATGGTTCAATACGGGGCGACTTGGTGGAGTCTCTGGTGACTGGTATTCATTTCAAACTTCCTCCGGACTCGGACTTTTGGAGACAGAGAGAGCAAGATTCTGTGCTCTGATTTTTCAGCGAACCCGCCTTTCTCTATCCTGAAGAGTAACTAGCAACCCTTCTTTTCAAGCCTCCCCGAATCTCTAGAGTATGTAATAGGATGTTATCGGCCAGTTAAAACCAAGAATCAAAAAAGCAGGCTTGTCTATTGTCCCCAAAGAGGATCTATGACCATGTGGAGGAAAATAAAGTACTGGCTGGCGTTCTTTAGCACAGTGTGCCCAGTACCCTAAATCCACTCCCTGTAAACATTCAGAAAGCAGCTTCACGTTCAATACTCTCTTCTGCAGAGAGAACAGTGATAGGTTTTACGAGAAGCATCTCTGTTTAAGCTACAAAAAACAAGTCCATGTTCTACCTAGCGCCCTGCAGTCTTCCTTTCCCCTTAAGGGGTGAGCTGAAAAAAAATGATTTGATTAAATATTAAACATTAAATTGAGCATTCAAATCTTTCATTTAATGCAGCTGCTCAAAGCCTCTATGGATCAAAATTTGAAAAAGCAAAAGCTGAATAGGATTTAAAAAAAAAACAGAAGTTCACACAATATTGTATTTCCAGAAAGTTTCCTAAAAGTGGTCATTTTTGAATGTGAACGACTGCTGTGTAAGTTAATCACACATTTCTCTTCACTTTTAGCCTTGTGAAAATTTCTGTTCTCAGTCTGCCAGTTTAAATGGAAACCCCGAAGTCCTCTTAAGACCCAAAGTGGAATTACTAAGTGCACTGTTCATTGAATTCCAGTTATTCCCCTGAGCATCACAGGCAGATTCCCCATCTCACTGGGGAACTAGAAATAATAGAAAGCAACACAGGGCAATGAAAAAGGTAGATGGGTCCTCACTAGCTTGCCTTTACCAACCAAAGAAAACTTTACCAAGTATGAGACAAAAATAAAGCAAGAAGCGCACTGGCCTACTAGGGAGCAACAGCGTGGACGTTGTTAACAGACCTTCATAGGATGTGAAGTTGCCTGTAAAACTGAATCTGTTCCTCGCCAAATTTCCAAAGTGAAGTGAGTTGCCTGTTTTTCTGCCAGGGAACAGGGTTTGCACTTCCCCCTCCTAGTTTAGCCTAGCTAGGCTGTCTACTGTGGGATGGACAAGTATTCTCTCCATTCCTCCATTTGTCCACAGCAGAAGAAACGCTGCTAGAAAGATGAACCCAAGCTATCATTCACTATCAATGGAGAAAACAAGACATTCCAGGATAAGAACAAATTTAAACAATACGTAGCCACAAATCCAGCCCTACAGAAGGTAATAGAAGGAAAATTGCAACCCAAGGAATCCAACATTGCCAACACTGCCTACAACAACTCAGGCATCTAGCAACCCTTCACCAGCACAACTCAAAGAAGGGAGACACACAAACTCTAATACCAAAAA